GGGTGTGTGTGTGGGGGGGGGGGTTTCAGGGTCACATCACAGGAGAGTGAACTGCCTGTCAGAAATCAGAGCACATCAGCGGTCTTAACGGCGGCTTGTGTACTTGATCATCACTGTGTCTGTCACGCGACTCTGTTGCCCTTTCAGCCTTGAACTGATGGTAAAACTAACGACATTATTAACTGTCTTGATATTTACTTTGAAAGCTTAAAGCTCGTGATTATGGTAAGGGGCATTACATTTTCGACGTGTGCTTGTGGTGTTCGGCCAATCACAATGCACTGGGTCAGCTGGCCAATGAGAGCAGACTGCGCTTGTCAAAGGAGGGGGCTTTGTAGAAAACGAAGCTTTTGAGATAGGCGGGTCATAGAGGACCTACAATAATGTACAGTATTTTAAAAAGGTGTTTTTTGAACATTAAAGCATGTCAACATTGTGTTACACCAAATACACAAAATAATGATCTTTAAAATAGCATCATATGACCCCTTTAAGAATGCTTTTTTTTCAGCTGATGAACAATAAAAAGATTGACAGCCTGTCAGAATACATCTTATTTAAAATAGCTTGAGCATTTCCATACACGCATTAAACAATCCAACATTTAAGATAGGGCTGGGCAATATATTGAATATTCACAATGTATTCGCCATGATTATTCTGGTGACATGATGTTAAAGGGATGGATCCCCCAAAAATGAAAATGTACTTGCTTGTTTCAAACCCATTTCATTTGCTGGTCACAAAAGAAGATATTTAGAAGTCGACAGCAGCCATTGACTTAAATAGTATTTTTTTCCCCGTACTATAGAAGTCAACTGTTTGGGTGAGTAAATAATGACAGAAATTTAATTTATGGGTGAACTATCCCTTTAAGCAATATTGTAAATACCATGATGCACTTTATTTGTCTTTTTAAATGCACAATTATTGGCCATTATGTTTCTTAAAGATTGAGACATTAGTTTCACAATTCATTCTTGTAGTGCTATTTGAGTTGTACTCTACGTTTGATTGGTTTATGTGAATCAGCTCTGTTGATTTGGTGTATCAGAGCTCTGATTTAACAACTTGTTTGTCACAGTGCTCATGGAGTCCATATGTTAGTAATGCACTAACATTTCTGCAACCAAATATTTCAGCTGAAGTGGCAAAAGAAGAAATTTTCGCTTTCAGACCAAATAGGTTTGGAGAGCTGAAATCATTAATTGTAGTTATGTGAAAATTTGTTTGGCTGAAATATTGAGAGGCTCTTTGGCTAATTTAATGCAAACAGTTTAATTTATCGACTGAGAATACAGCGCTCTGAATAGCATAAAGAGTGTAATTACCCAAATTTAGTGAAATGTTATTTTGGGTTTAAAATTTATTTATTTTTGTCCATCACTTATGCATAATTTTTAACATAAATACAACATAACTATTGAGATACATATATTGAATATCTTCAAAATCTAAAAATATTAACATTTTTATTTACTCTTTCCCAGTCAGCGTTTACCAAAAAAAAAAAAGTTGCCAGTCACCGCCAGCATTTTTGATAATTTTCTCAATTTCCATGGCCCCCAGAATATATTGTTGTATAAATCTGAGCATGCATTGCAAGAACAGAGACTACTTTTTAGCAAAAAAAAACAAAAAAAGATAGAAATTCTAGCTTAGTGAAAGCCGGAAAGTGTTAAACTATATTGCCTAGCCCTGATTTATAAAATCAGTCACACAAACGTTGCGTTGTGTATGTGAGCATTGAAATCTTTGAGTATTTCTTCCATCAAAACAAGGTAAGAGCTCTTCTATTTTGCTGTTTTAATCTTTGCTGATGCTCCATTTTCTGATGGGCGCTCACAATGCCCTGCTCGTTTCAGCGTGATGTTTGCTTCCATTTAGAATGAAGAAGAAAAGGAAGAGGTCGACCTCGTTCTCTACATCTTCAGATACGTCCTCAACTACAAGCGACGACTCGCCTCCATCGAGTCGCAAAAAACCGAAGAAACGGAAACACAAGCGCCGGCGCTCATCTCGCGGCAGTAAAAAACACAAGAGGAGAGTGTCGTCTTGTAGTGATAAAACGGCGGAAGCTGACACAGAGTGGTTTCCCGCTCCTGCTAACACCTCCGCTTCCTACATCGACCAGAAACAATCCATAAGCAAACTCATCAGCGAAGGAGAACAGTCTTGGGGCAAAAGCCGACACGAAGACGGCAGAGGTAAGTTAGATGATGCTATCGACAGAAGCCTGGAGAACGTCACGTATGGAGCCCAGCCTGAAGCGTCTAGACTGGGACGTCCTGGTGTGAACGGCCAAGTTACAGATCGACACAGGACTCCGAGCACGTCTGAGCATGCCAGAAACCGGAGGGATTCTTCCTCCTCAACCCAGTCCGAATACTCCCACAGATCTGAGCGACACACTAAGGAATTTTCCTCGCAAGGCAGAAAACGTAGCGAGTCGGAGCGAGGGGGGAATGAGAAGATGGATAGAGAGGAGAGAAATAGTCGAGATCAAGATGATGGCGGGAAGTCTTCAGGTCTAACCCTCAAAAAAGATGTCCCTTCCAACTTGCTTGACATTTTCAGTCAAGTCTCTGAATTTGAGAAGGAAAAAATGCTGAAAAAGTAAAAGAGCTGTCAAGAGTAACACTAGTGGGGCTTTCATTACTAGAACTAGCAGGTTTAACCCTCAAGTATAGCGATTGATATATATGATAATGTAGGTTGATCAGAACTGTTTAGTTTCATAATTTGAGGTTAGATTTGTTTGTAGAGGGGAAAGGGGGAGCAAAGCCAAAATTTGTGAGGTGAATGATGCCTCGGTATTATAACTTGCATTCAGTATAATGTCAGTGTTCAAATAAATGAATGTAATGGTCATGGTTTGCTCTGTCTGTTGAAATGTTATTAACTGTATATTAAAGGTATAAATGGTTTCCTACGGGATGCAAAGTGGTCTTCCAGCAGGGTTTCGGAAAGCCAAATCATCAACTAAGCCAAAAGTTTTAGGATTTAACACAAAGCAGACTTGGAGAAATATGCTCTGGTCAAGCTTAACAACTTAAGGTTCAGTTTAATGCTCTTTGTTGATATAATGAATTATTAAAATTTGAAAAAATAAATAAATTGTGTGTGTGTGAGAGAGAGAGAGAGAGTGTGTACTGGTTTATATATCCTGGTGGGGACTTAAACCTGACTACACAGACTCATGGGGACTCCTGTTCAAGCTTAACAACTTAAGGTTCAGTTTAATGCTCTTTGTTGATATAATGAATTATTAAAATTTGAATAAATAAATAAATTGTGTGTGTGTGAGAGAGAGAGAGTGTGTACTGGTTTATATATCCTGGTGGGGACTTAAACCTGACTACACAGACTCATGGGGACTCCTGTCACGGTGGGGACCTACATTGAGGTCCCCACGGGTACAAAAGCTTATAAATCATACAGAGTTAAGTTTTTTGAAAATCTAAAAATGCAGAAAGTTTCCTGTAAGGGGTAGGTTTAGGTGTAGGGTTGGTGTAGGGCAATAGAACACACGGTCTGTGCAGTATAAAAGCCATTACGCCTATGGAGAGTCCCCACAAGGATAGCTGACCAGACGTGTGTGTGTGAGAGAGAGAGAGAGAGTGTGTGTGTGTGTGTGTGTGTGTGAGTGTCCAAAAGCACTGAGATCGGAAATGGACAAAATCTGTAAAGTGATGACCAATTAAAACAATATTCAATAGATGATATGTTTGGTTTTGTAAAAACATCTGAAATTTAAGATCGATAGTTGAAAGTACTATGAATATTCATATATTGTAGATATTTATTTGATTATTGTTTTAGTTTGATATTACCACTGTACATATGAAATATTAATTAAAAATATAACATTTTCCCCCCAAATTCAGTGTGCAGTCCATCAGAGGGCAGTATAACACTGGGCTTCCTCTGTAATGGACTTTCGATGTCCCTTTGCCTCATAATATTATAATAATTCAGCCTTCCATTAACTGAAAAACAGTCAAGATAAGGTCAAGATGCAACACATGCAGGTCATTTTCAATGAAGCAAGAAACAATGAAAGAAAAAGACCGTATTTATAAAGTTGATTTACAGGAGAAGGGACTACAACTGCTTAGTTACTGCTTAATTGTAGAACGGGTCTTGACTGTTCAATACCAAAGACCCCAGAAAATATGATAATCCCCTTGTAAGGAACTTCCTTTTTAAAATATATTGTAGATATAATGAAGACATGCTGTTTGCAACTTAAAGAATTTGGCTTTAATATTTTAATATTAAATATAATAATATTGGTTACTTTAAAAGAATACAGATAAGTGTGAACTGAATTATGTTTTGGGCACGTAATTTCATGATGACTGCAATTAAATGAAAATATATTAGTTTAAATGTATATTAAATGCAGCTAGCAACACTAGTAACTGATTCCATGTAATCTGGATTAACTAATCCAAAAATAAAATACTTGTAATTAGATTATAGTACATTTTTAAATGTTATATATATATATATATAAAAGACTACAGTTACTTTTTTATTGATTACATATTATTCACACAAGTCTTTGTCTTTGAAAGGCTTTTGTCTTTCAAACACATTAAAGTGCACAAATTCACATTATTTCTTATTTGCATGTAAAGCAGGGATATCCAACTTTTTTTGTCAGCTGAATTTCTTTCACCTAATATATTTACTTGAAGTACTCCTGAGATTTTAAGGGAAAAATAAGTTAATAACACATTTGCATGTTCATGGTTCTCTAATGTTGGTTAAGGGTCACATGACATGCAGATAAACAAAATATTTCATCTTTTTTAGTAAGTGTTTTGTTTTGATTGTTATTTTAAAATGATTTAGTTTCATTTTACATTATGATTTAATTAATTGTTAGCTTTTCATTAAACTCACAAACCCCCTGCAGTTCCTTCACAAGCCCCAGTTTGGGAAACCGTTATATTTAATCCAACTTTTTTTGTCAGCTGAATTTCTTTCACCTAATATATTTACTTGAAGTACTCCTGAGATTTTAAGGGAAAAATAAGTTAATAACACATTTGCATGTTCATGGTTCTCTAATGTTGGTTAAGGGTCACATGACATGCAGATAAACAAAATATTTCATCTTTTTTAGTAAGTGTTTTGTTTTGATTGTTATTTTAAAATGATTTAGTTTCATTTTACATTATGATTTAATTAATTGTTAGCTTTTCATTAAACTCACAAACCCCCTGCAGTTCCTTCACAAGCCCCAGTTTGGGAAACCGTTATATTTAATGCACTTCATGTTGTTAATAACAACAAATTGAATATATTTTTTATTCTCATTGCAAGACATAATCATTTTAATCTTCCAGCTGAGAACCAAATCTCATATGGCCTATCTGTCCCTTTTGGGTTTGTATTTTTGTTTCATCAATAATTTTCATAAGAAAATGTGGCTGACCTGATATTTCATATTATAAAGGTGCGATCACATGTACGTGAAATTTCGAGGCAAAAAACTGTCCAAATTCTATTGTCAATCAATAGTGTAGCGATGAATGAAGAAGTCAGTTTCAGACCAAAGAAACAGGTTGCTATTGGTTGAGCCCGAATTCGCGTGACCAACTTTAACATGAATTAAATCATGCAAGGGAAAGTTTTTCGCCCAGTCTCACGGATTAATGGAATTCAATTTGCCCGAGAAATTTCGCACAGCAACGGTAACTGTCACCACACCTTAAAAGACCACACAAACTGTTTAGGCTATTTACAGAAATGTTCTGGGTTCAATACAAGGTAAGCTCAATGTATCGGTGATGCAAAGACTGCAAAATGTAGTAAAACACATTTACAGTAATGTAAGCCTATGAGGTGAGGCATTACGGCAGGATATAAATGTTAAAATACAAAACGTAAACATTATCTTACCATGAAACTAGTTCATTCTGTAATTACAGCCACATCTCAAACGATTGTATATTTAATAGAATTATATGGTGGAAGTGACGGTGGTGGAAAGTTTTGGTAGTCATTTTGGAAAATAAATGGCCAGTTTTGTCTTCATAAAGATAATGTTGCTAGCATTTCGTATATCCAAAATACACGCAATTGCATAATATTTTCATATATTCTTAAAAAATTTTACAAAATTATACCTTTATAATTTTGACAACTTTGTCAAATTTTGATCCTTTTATTTCTGTTTATTTTCTTAACACATCATAGGTCTGGTATTTATATGACCACAGTCATGCTCTTCACAACAAAGTACAATAACATTTGAAAAAAAAAAACTAGACTTTATTGAACAATAAGGCACTGTTCAGTGACAAATATGTAAAAACTGAAAAATTACTTTTACACAGTACATATTATAATGGTTTATTTCACTCTTTGTGTCAGGATCATGGACTGTCTGTGTCATGTTTTGCCCCTGTTTCTGTTCCCTTATTTTGTCATGTTCCTGTCCTAGTTTTGTTAATTTGATTAGTCATCCCATACACCTGTATTTCCCCAATCATCTCCTGTATTTAAGTCCTAGTCTGTGCAGGGGGACAAAGCTCTCGAGGACCATACTAGACTGTTCCAGCTGCTAGTGTAACCAGTGTAGTCTGCGTTGAGTTTTTTTATGCAATAATCAGACGGCCATCAGATGACGGTTTGACTCTTCTTTAATGTGATAAGGCATAAGAGTATGTACTGTATATACGGTGTGAATTCTCCCTCTTTTGTTTCTCTCCCATGCAGAGAGAGTGCCGAAAGGGAAGAGAGGTGCAAAGACAGGAAATTAGGATCAACATTGCATTCAGAAATTTAAAGGAGAAGGTGCACACATTTATCGGCAAGCTTCTGTTTACCTCCACAGCCTTTGTTAGCAACGAGAACGTGATCACCAACTGACAAAGGTAAACCCTTGACTCTCTTATTGTACTGATCAGACTGATGTTTTTGTTCTGCAGTAGAGTTCTTATGAGCCAGCAGCATAGCAGACTGCAGATCTCTGACAAGGGATTGAACATATTCTTTGTAATCACAGATGGACTCATTAAGAAGGACACATTGAAACATAAGATCAACAGGTAATCTTGGCACCCTCCCGAACATCAGGTAAAAAGGGGCAAAACCAGTTGTTTCATGGGTGGTGCAGTTATACATGAATGTCATTGTTTGCACTAACTGTGGCCACTTTTGTTTTGATCTAGGAGGAAAGGGTAGTAGCATGTTGCCCATTGTTCTGTTGAACCTTTCAGTTCCGCCATTTCCCGTTGGATGGTACGGGGAAGTTTGTGACTTGTCTACACTGGCAAGATCAAGAATTTTGCTATCAGCTCGCTCTTAAAACTGGCACCCTGGTCCGAATGGAGACGCTGAGGAAAGCCATAGATGCAGAAGAATCCATCCCATAGTTTCTTAGCAACACTCTTAGCAGACTGGTTTCGACAAGGAAAAGCATGTGCTAGCTTGGTGAAATGATCTGTGATTACCAAGACATCCACAGATTTATTGTGCCTATCCTCAGCAGCCCAGAAATCAATGCAAACAAGCTCCAATGGGGCAGTGGTTATGATGCTCTCCAAGGGTGCTCTTGCCGCTGGCTCTGCAGTTTTACTTTGAGTTTTAATCACTCACATCAAGTTCCATCCCAGGCCAATATAACCTCTGGCGAGCTAAGGACAGGATACATGGTTGACCTTGGTGACCGGCCAAATCATGAACACCAGAAAGAGCTTGCTGTTTCAGGGAATCAGACAGCATGAACTGAAACTTCTTATGCTTTATGATTGGATCTTTAACGGCTCTGTAAAGAATGCCATTAAGCAAAAACAGTTTGTCCCACTGCTTCAACAATCTCAAAACATGCAAATCCTCATTTTGAGTTCAGTGTCAAGTGTCTGTGGCTGGCACGTAAGATGGAAAGTTTTCTGCACAGAATCATCTTCCATACTCTGTACGTGCTTCAGCAGTTCAGAGTAAGGTTCGGACAGAAGATGTTGACTCTCTGGCTTGACAAATGGGTCACGACTGAGTGCATCCGCCACCACATTCAACCTTCCAGGGACGTACTTGATTTTAAAATTGTATGGGGCTAGCTTTGAAACCCAGCGCTGCTCACATGC